CAACGGACCTCTTCCAGAAGGGGCACCCCCCCATCTGCACCCCTGTAACATTAAGCACCACACAACCCACAGCATCTGTGACCTACAGTCACAGATCAGTATCTCACCAACTCAGACCTTCAATAAACACAAACTACAATTTGTACCTTGTAAGTAATATACCACATCAAATCAGAAGTCATCATATGCAGTCTATGTTCTACATAGGGTGAAAAGGACATCTTGACTCCATGAACAATAAGATGCAGGTTGCACATAGGTTGCTTGGCCCAGTACAGTCCTCTCCAAGTGACACTGAGTGTACAGATCAAGGTGGGAGAGGTTTACAGGTGTCTACACTGGGGAACCCAAGAACATCACTGGAGATCTAAACGGTACACATTGCAGCACAGACAGAAAAGAGAGTAAAGAGATTAAAAAAAACAGAATCAACTTCATTCAAAACCTTTCCAGGCCTGAAGAAGGTAGTAAGCGGGTGGTCAGAGCCTACAAAGACAAGGACTAGTTCTCCTCATCCCAGTTGAAACTCATTCCCTCTTCCTTCCCCCTGTGCAGAGGCTTGCACCGAACCTCCCCACACACCCCCACCACAGTTCCCACCACAGGAAGAACAGCTCACCTGGCCTGTGCAGCATGACGTTAAGTCCCATTTCCCTGCCGACCCAGGTCCTCTGGCCAGCTGCCCCATGGCCACCCTTCAGCTCATCCCAAACCTCCTCCAGCCCCGTCCCCTCACAGGCCACCTTCTCCCCTGTCGCCAACCCCAAAAAACACACACACCTCCATCCGCAGGCCCCTGCACACCTGCCAGCTGAAGCTTTCTGCCCTCACCATAGCCATCCTTCCCATCACCTCCAGTCAACCACCATCAAATACCTTTCTCCCACGTCCTGCACCCACCCTGCCATACGAAGCACCCCCGAGAGGCACTGCCACCCATACCTAGATCCCTACAACACCTCTCCATTCCCACAACACACAGGCACCCCCAAACTCAGGTCTCTGCATCTCCTCCAGCCTCACTTAAGCCAAGGGGGCTCCCCAAACCTTAGGCGGGCCCCCAAAAGCCGCTTCCCCCAGCCCCAAGAGCCCCAGGCACCCCATGCACGCTCCCACCCCCACCAGCCCAGCCTGACCCCCCACCCCAAAGGCCACCTCCCTCACCCCGGAGGGCACGGCCCCCCGCGTTCACACCGCTGCCCCTCCCAGGCCTGCGCGCCCCGCACGGCCGGCCCCCCGCCCCAGGGACACAGCCCCCCAGCACGGCGCGACA